ATACACACACACATATATACACACACATATACATACACACACACACACACACACACACACACACACACACACACATATATATATATAATGAAAACATTTGCTTGGCAACAATGGGAGATTGATAAACAAATTGTGACTCCCTCTTTATTCATAATGGTGGGGGCATGTCTTAAGGGCCTATAGGAAGTGCTTAATGGATATTATCCTGTTAATCTTGCTAGGTGAGGTTGGCACTATTAGCTCTTCCTCCACATGAGGAAACTGAGGCACAAGGAAGTTAAGAAACTTGTCCAAGCCCACGCAGCTGAAAAGTCCCGGAGCTGGGATTTGAACACACCAAGGAGAGACTTCAGAAACACCAGGCTGTTTTGCCTTTCACAAAGGGGCCTGCATGGACCTGAAGGCGTAGGTCGGTGGTGGGAGCACTTGCCTGCAAGGTGAAAGGCCTTGGGTTTGATTCCCAGTACCGAAACATGAAGGGACAGATGGTCCCACGGATGCCGTGTGCTTTCTCTACATTAAGGAGAGAAACCCTTAAGGCAGGACTGAATTAAGACACCGGGTCTTTTCAGTTCTGTGTTTAGGAGACAGTTTAGAACATTCATTTCTCACCAGCTCTACCAGCACCCTACCCAAGTGCAAGCTACAGTGCCCTTAGCTTTCACGTGAAATGGGTCCCAAAGCAGTTTATCCACACTGGTTTTCACACCTTCACAGGGTAGTCACAAAGGTGTTAAAGACATGGTTCCATTATCAATTTGATAAAATCCCTTTACAATATCCTTAGCGATATTAAGATAGTAAGCAAAACCCGTAACAAGGCCTTGAGACCTCCTGCCTGTCCAAACTCCTCACACACCTCCTCCATACTCTTTCCAGCTGGTTCACGGCCCCTTTACCCTGTTCCCCCATGCTCATCAACCCAGCGTTTGTTGACAGCCCCTTACCCCGTTCCTCTATGCTCTATCAACCCATTTTTTATTCTTGCAGCACCAGGTGTATCCCCTTTGTAGTTTTTATAATGTAAGTATTAATGTAAACATCTAGCATGTTGCCTAGCTCATGTTAGGAATAAATAAACATTTGATGACTAAATAATGACAAAAGTGTGCACAGTGCCCTCCATAATGTTACATGGGTGAAAAGTGTAAACATGGACAAGAAAGACCAGATGGAAATTGGTGTTTTGGAGACGATGCCTTTTAACTATTGTCTTTGGGGGGCTAACATATTTCCTTTTTGTCTGTATATCATACATATTTTTTAAAGATTTTTTTATTTAGTATACAGTGTTCTGTCTGCATGCTAGAAGAAGGCACCAAATCTTATCATAGATGGTTGTGAGCCACCATGTGGTTGCTGGGACTTGAACTCAGGACCTCTGAAAGAGCAGCCAGTGCTCTTAACACTCTGAGCCACCTCTCCAGCCCTGTATATCATATATTTTTATGTGCAACTTTTATAAAGCAAACGTGTGGTAACCGTGAAAGTTCATCCAGATACCCAATGCTTGGACTTTCCTAGGCTTTCTTCCCACCTTTGGACCTGCCTGGATCAACCTGTACGGCTCCCCCAGGAACCAAAGTCTGATGGATGACTACCAAGAGTTGAATGAGGGCTTTGGGGAAGGTGTGTCCTTCAGGGGCCGGATCTTGGTGGAAATTGCTGTAGAAATCCTCTCCGGTGGGGCCCAGGAGTCTAAGTTCTCCAAGGCTCTGAAGGAGCTGAAGCTGCCCTCCAAAGACAAAGACTCCAAGTCTTCTAAAGGCTCAAGTAAGGACAAGGCTGACAAAACCGATGATGGCAAAGCCCAGCAGGCTGCCGACAAAACCAACTCCACGGAGGTGGAGGTGGAATCTTTCGCTGTCCCCCCAGAGGTAGGTGCGAGCTCTGCTCCTCAGGACCTAAGGTAGGGGGGCCCAGGGTGGGTGGGGAGGGGCAGGGGGATGCCATACTTGCCACACTCTAGAAGACATTTCATTTACAGATCTCATCTTCCCTACAAATTGGGCCAGATTAGTGCCAAGTCCCGGGGTGTGGTGTGTCCTCTGTTCTTGCAAGTAGTGTGGCCATGTGCTCCTTTAGAATCTCTCAAGCGTGGGTCCCTCGGGAACTCAAAGAAGGAGACGGAAAAGTAGTCGGAGACCTTGGTAGGAGTGGGTGGTGGATGGATGTGTAAACTCTGCTGTCTCGTTACGAAACCTCATAAACCCCGGATGAAATCACAGGCCCACGGATTTCTCATCTTCAATTAGTCCCCACCATTGAAACCAGCATCTCTCCAGCCCCAAGTATGGCAAGAGATTGGGGCGTCAGGATGAGCATCGGCTGTGACTATCCTCTCACTTTTCATCCTAGTTTAGTGACGGGGTTCTGGGTGTCATCAGTAGCAGAGGAGGGTTGATTCCAGCCGAGCCCGGCTAATTCCATCTCTGGGAAAGTCTCTCAGGTCAACATAAGGGAGATGATAGCTGCTCGCCCAGAACTGGGGAGACTGGGTTGACCCCAGAAAACCCACCCTTACCTTGGAAGAGCCATTTATTTTTCCAGCTGGGATATTAAGAAACCACTGGGGAAGTCAGGTGGTGGCGCACTCCTTTAATACCAGCACTCAGGAGGCAGAGGCAGGTGGATCTCTGTGAGTCCCAGGCTAGCCTGGTCTACAAGAGCTAGTCCAGGACGGCTAGGGCTACATGCAGAAACCCTGTCTTGAAAAACCAAAAAACCCCCAAACCAACAAACGACAAACCACTGGGGAGAACTCAGAGCATCGGTTGGAAACCCTGGCGTTAGTTTTACTCATGGCTGTAATGCTAACACTGCCCTAGGTTGACATTTATTCTTTAGCCAAATGAGGTCTTATAGGTTGCTCTGTCACAGACAACTTCTGGGGGCTCGTGAAAAAGTATATATAAATTGTTGTAGGGAGACACCGTAACCACACCTCCTAAGGGCAGGCTACAGGTGTGCCTGACCATGCCTGTCAAGGCGTGGTCAAGATGATGTAAGGGTGACCCGGGGTGGGCTCTTAAGCACCAGCGAGCACACGGAACAGGCTCTTCCCTGCTGCCCCTTCTCTCTGGCCTCCCTGCCTTGCTGCCCCTGGGCACACTCTGGCTTGCATTTGGCTGGTATCTATCTGAATAAAGGTATCTTAAACCAACAAGCTCGCCTTTCAAATTGTCATCAGATCTTTTATCGCATACACGGTTAAGCTTGCCGTGCCTTTATGGCTGTTATCCACGGCCCTCTCCCTCCACCAAGGAGCGGCTATGTAGAGCTTGCAACCTGTTGTTTGTGTCTTGGCTTTTGCAGCGCCTCCACACCTCTCTTTGGATTCTCATCTGGGAAACGCTCTGTGGACATGCGCTTTATCGGTTTGTTGGGGTTGGAACTGGCGTTGCCAACACATGCGCTGCGAGCGTATGTGCATTCAGGAAATAAGCCAACACTGGAAACTTGACTTTACACCTTGTGGGTAGCTTGCGTGGCATGTTGGGGTCACTCAAGCATCTAGTCAGTCCTACATCTGCCTGTCTGGTGACCACTCTTTCTGTGAGTCACTTTGGATAGGGATAGCCAAGTAGAAAGAAGCTACGAGGAGCTTTTCACATCCTTGAGATATTTTGCTGAGGTTTTCTTTTTTTTCTTTTTTTTTTTTTTTTTTTTTTT